CTTATGTCGCTGCACAATACAGTAAAACCACCACATCAAGGAAAAAATAGAAACAAAAAATGCATCAAGCATCAACATATCTAAAAGGCAATTGATCTTACAACTTGGTTACTGATGTCATACTGGCGAGCTGGTATCCCATTGACCCAGAAAGTCCAAGACCTGATATTTTGGTGGTGGAAAATTAGCAGCAAAATATATATTAGATATAAACAACATCAATCATTTTTAGGAATGGCATGCACAAGGAATGAAAGAGGAAACAAAAAATACATTTCTGTGACTCTTGAGCCTGAGCAGGTAATGCATTTACAGGCATAGTTGTTAAAGGCTCAAGGGACTAAGGCACCAAAGGCCTCCTGGAGTCTAAGCGCAAGGCACAGCATAAGGCGCGAGCCTAATCAAAGTAAGGCGCGTGTATATGATAATGAATATATTATTATATATACTCATAATCAAGCTGTAATTGCAGTTACTGTAAGTAGTGAACCATAAATTTATGAATTTTGTCAAATATTTCATAAGGTTAAACAATACGGTTTATGATATAAAACCTTTTAATTTAGTAGTCAATAAATTAAAAAAAAAAAAATGATATGAATAAATAATTAAAAAATACAAAGCGCGCCTTTTTTGAGCTCGGAGCCTATTAAAAAGCGTTAGCTTAAGGGCTTTATGTGAGCCTAATTGAAGGGGCATGGCATATAGTAGGTTGAGGCGCTCTAGTTGAGCCTTGACGAGCCTGAGACTTTTTTGGAGCCTAGGCGCTCCTTTAACAACTATGTTTCCAGGACTTCCCACTTGGATCACCACCAGTTGTGCTCCATCTGGTTAGCTGCAATGGTGAATTTAAACTGCTATACATGGCCATAAGAGCAGAGGCTGTACATGAAACATGCCACAAGTAACATTGTTATATCATTTGATTCATTTTTCAAAAGAGAAGTTTAAAACAAGTTTAGACAATAGTCCCAGTATTTAACACCACAACTCTTTGCCAACGGATAAGAAAACATGAAAATTTCCTGGAAGAACATATACAATAACTGTAATCGGAGGAAGCAACAAGTTTTCCTTCTTGTTACTTCAGTATTAGGTCTCCAACAACCTGGTTTGGCACTAATGAAGAAACCCCATTTGTACAATGACATGACAGAGCGTAAACAATTTGTAGATCATGTACAGAATTTTGTTTACTCACTTTAATTTGGATATCCTTTTCCCTCCTTTCCTGCTAGGATTAGAAATCTTATATTCAAAATATCCGTTTCCTTTAACTTAGGTCTTCCGAAGTTAAAACCATCCCTTTTTCTCCAAAAAAAAAAAAAAAAAACAGCACTCAAACCCTCCATTTGATGCCAATAAGTCTCCTTGAGTCCTTCATTGAAGACTAGAGATTGAAAATTGGAAGCACTCCTCTTACTTGGAGGAAGAAGACTAAAGTTCGGTGTTCAAGACCTGATTCACCTTTTGTTTCGTTTATTTATAAGATGTTAAACCTACACTAAGGGGTCTGCTTATGCTATTGTTTCTAATGTCACAGAACTAACACATACATAAAGTAATTAAAATATCACAAACACGCACATTGTGCACAATAAAGGTTACACAAATACTAGAAGATAAGCTTTGTGAAGACTACAACTGCATCTTTTCTCCTAAGAAGATTTTATTTCAAATCCCAACCGGTACTTGAGTGTTAATATAAGGGCCATATTGCATAGATGGAACTAGAGATTGTCATGAAAAAGTAGAATGAATTGGAATGGAATGAGAACGGAGGTTAGAAGAGAACGGGAAGGTCATTCGTTTTGTTTGAAGGTGGAATGATTTTGATGGAATGACCACTCTCAAGAATAGTAGGAAATGATGATTTCAATTTTAAAATTGGCACCAAACACGAGAATAATAAAAATAAAAATAAAAATTAAAAAAAACCATTTCATTCCACAGCACCAAACTAGCCCTTAAATCTTATTATCAACACCTTTAATCTTGTTTTCAATACTTTTTAATTGTTTTCTCAAAACTTTTAATCTTATTTTCAATACCTTTATTTTTTTTCTCAACACCTTTAATCTTTTTCTCAACACTATTTTATCTTATTTTCGACACCTTTAATATTACTTCAACACCTTTTAATCATGTTCTCAACAACTTTAATCTTATTCTCAACACCTTTAAACTTATTATCAACAACTTTAATATTTACCTCAAGATCCTATAATCTTTATCTCATTAATGACTTTTATTTTTTTTCTCAAACTCGAATCTAAGTAATTTTGGGGGGAATAAAAAATAAAAAATCTACCACAAAAACATGGACTTTATCTCTCACATATTATATTATCAGGTCACTTTAGTTTCAAATATTTGTCATTGTTTTATGGGATGGTGATGAGAGAGGTACCAAAGCAGAATATTTTTTTTCTTTTTTTTTTTCTTTTTGTAATATTTTTACCATAACATCGTTCATTTTTTCGGTCTTACTCAAAAATTATCCTTTTTTGAAAACAAATCTTTTTGTACTACAGTATGGGTACTGCAGAACGCATTTATAGTAAAGGATCCTAGTCCATTACTAATTATAGGATCCATTTTTTAAAAAAAAAATTATATTTATAGGACCCTTTCAATACTAATTAATGGTCTGTGAAAAAAAAAAAAAAATACTTAAATTGCCTCCCTCAAAATTTTAAAAACATTTTTTGTATGTCTCTAATAATTTTTAGTGTTGAGTTTGAACTTTTTTATTTTTACTTTAGAGAATCCAAATCTAGTGAAATAATACATAGTTCCATCACAATAGTAGTTCTTGCTATAACATATCATTGCTATATATATATATATATATATATATATATATATATATACACGCGTGAGTGTGTGCATATTTTAATATTTACTAGTATTATGTAGTGAATTCAAGAGGAAAAAAATAGATGTTCAGACTCATTATCGACTTGCAAGTTACTCATATTTCTCTCTCTCTTTTTCTCTTTATTTTTATTTTGCATATTATTTTTCTTGTCTTATTTATTTAAGTTTTTTTTTTTCAATTTTTTTTTTTTAGGTTGGTACCTGGTAGTCTGTTTCTCATTATTTTGGTCTATTAAGAATAGAAAATTGTTATGCCGAGAGCCTCTCACTAAATTTGTGCCCTTTAACATTGAAGCCCAAGGTTGCAAAGGTCAACCTCTTAGCCAGAATGTCATCGTGATACACATTTTTAATGGTATATCAATCCTTTAACTCTAGACCTAATAACCAGACAAGCCACTCCTGAGGCCATTAGAGGACCAGTATAATATAATATTGATTTATATTATAAAAAAATTATAATATTTTTATTATTTTTATGATTTTAATTATATAGTGCTAATTTGCCACAAGCCACTCCTGAGGCCGTTAAGAGGACCCAATATAATATATATTGATTTATATTATAAAAAACTATAATATTTTTATTATTTTAATTATATAGTGTTAATTTGCCCGTGCATCAACCGTGATAGACCGGTCCGTAATTCTTGAACCGGTTCCAAATCTACAATACAGCATCACAACAATAATTTTGAGCCACTCTAACAATGTCATCGTAATGTTATTAATATATTTTACGTTATGATAATATCAACCCTTACACACATAAAGTTAGTCAAATTTGTTCTACTATCGGACTTCCAATCATTAGGAAAAATAAACAAGATTATGTCTAGATTAAAAAAATCTAAAATATGCATGGGATAACGAGAAATTATAAGATGGTTCTGGTCTATTTGACACTTGGTGGACTAATTCAATAACATCCCTCTAATCATGACACTTTATAATATATTAATACACTCTTGTGGGGCCTATTTTCTTAATCTGAAAATCTGTATTTAATTGGTCCACCAAGTGTTAATAGTTTAAATAATTTATCAGGATATCGCATTTCAACAACTGCAAACTGTAACAATTATTAAAGGCTAATTTAATAAAATGGTATAATTATACCAGACCACGTTGCAAGTCGAGCTACTTCAAGTTGCAAGTCGAGCTATTTTTACTTCAATAATGATAAGTAATTCGAAGGTTCTTTAGGAATTTAAGAAGCCCACTAGCATCGTATTCAATTGTATTGTCTTGGAGGAGAACCGAGCTCACATACGGAAAATAGCTTGAACTGACTTTGCGTCAATCAAAATCTTTGTTCTGCTCAAAAATACAACATAGTATAGTTTATTTGAAAGAAAGAAAAAAAGAGCTCGGTTTACTTAAAATATACTGATTTGGAGAATTAAAATTGAAGAAAAATTAGGTTAGAAATGTAAACTAACATGATCTACAATTCAAATCCCAAAATATAAATTCTGTACCACCAAATATTTTTTTATTTTGTTGTGATATAACTAAGAAAAGCATAAGAATATCTGTTGTTCTCTTTTTATTTTGATTAACGCTCTTAAGAGAGTTCCTTCGTAACAAGAGTCACGAGCTCTTCTAATTCAACTACTGAATCGACAGTTTTTTTAATTTTTCTTTTAAGATTAATCAAAAGTCAAATGAATGACGCGTATCTCCGAGGACGAAGCCTCACCAAGAGAACCGCAAAAATGAAGATATACAAAAAGGATCAGAGCAGACGAACACAACGATCACGAATTCGACGTGTAGGAGAGTCAAAATGATAGTAGCTTTCACCATAATCACAAAATCGTTAGCAACACTCAAAATTGTTATAAGGTAAGGTTATCCCGACAATTGCAATAACCATATGAAACCATGATATAGTGAATTATAATCCGATTAGTTGTCAAATACTTGACTGTCACCTCAGAGTGTGTGCGCCTGGAAAACATCATAAACAGGTAGAACTGGAACAGAATATGAACCTCAAATCTACCAAAAGTTATGTGACACACCAATGCATAATTCTAATGGAGTGTTGAAACCAGATTTCTATTCCAAGACAAGTTCAGAGAATTCCAGACACAGTTACTTCAACAGAAAAAAGCTAACATATAAAAAAGTAATTAGATTGATCACCCATCAAAAATCTGAACACCAACAATAACAATACCAAGTGCATAATGCATATGTTACATATATCAAGCCTTGGACACCACCCACAACTTGTCTTCTATGTTTCACCATGACACGACACATCAGAAAAAAGTATTAATTTAAGATGAGTATCCACAGACGGATGTTTCATGACATTACAAAAACTAGAAAACATGTTTCAACCCATTACGCACAAACAAGCTTGATATGCAGTTCCAGAAATCGATTGTGACGCTTCATTGCTGTATGCTGTCAAAGCAATCGATGCATTATATCAAATCAGCAACGTTCATCGGCATTTCGTCAATCTGAGTACTGTAATACTGCTCTATGTCTCTCAAAATTCTGATATCATCACTTTTGACAAAGTTTATTGCAACACCCTGCACCATCAACACGACATTTAAGGTATCAACTAGCTATCACACGGAAGTTGTTAAAATGTAAAGAAAATATAGCCCATAAATGATGGGTGGAGCCCAAATATTTAATAAATCCCTACAAATATCTAAACTAAAATCGAAGTAGAAAGTACTAAAATCAGATGTCTCACATGCATGGATCAATTAACCGAACGTAAAGAAAACAGATCATATTTTCATGCAAATATTTCCAACCAGCAGGGTCAATTATTACAGTAAAAAGCTTGGCCTCTGGACCTCCATGTAACACCACTGTGCTTGCTATACAATCCACAACCACTCGGACACATACCCGGACCGCATACATACCTAAGTCCAAGTAATATAGCTTGAATACTCTGAACACAATGACAATGTGGAACTCTAGAATCCTGGTATATCTAAAGAGCAAGACTTGGATGAAAAGTTTAGATAATGCATTTGTTCGCTGCCATATTAGTTCTCAATATCTTAATTAATTTCCTTGGAAATTCTCAAAGCCCTAGGAATGCTGTTCTGCTTACATGAAAAGACAGCCAACAAAAAATGACAAACAATCATTAAGGATCTGACAAGAAAAGTAAGAACCAAGCAAAAAAGAGGAATACAAATCATAGGCTACAAACCAATAAAGACTACAAAAAGGAATCACAGTTCTCCTATGCAAAAATGCTGAATTGAAGAAGATAAATGATAACACTATGAATACAATGAAGTATAGCATATATCGTGTAGTTTAAAATAGAAGTTTTGGCAACCTATCTAAAAGCAAGATTCATCAAGACAAATAATTAACATCTCGTGAAATTTCTGAACAACTAAAAGTTTCCTGTCCAATCCAAAGTTTTCAATAAAAAAACCAAAAAATACCTTGCGTCCAAAACGACCAGAACGACCGATCCGGTGAATGTAAAGCTCTCGATTGTTTGGAAGATCATAATTTATCACCAAGGAAACCTAAAGAAAGAAAAACAAATACAAAAGTGAGAATGCCCTTGCAGCAAGAATATTTCTTCCAACTTTAAGATATTATATATACACAGAATCCAATTATTACGAGGACACAGTCACATACATTGTTTAAAATCAAAAGGTTAAGAGTTACTAAAAAAAATTTAAATGCTGAATGCCATTCTACGTCCTACAGCCGTAAAGTGTTTAGAAGGTCACAGTTAAAACACCTCGACCTTCCACGTGCACAAAAGCTTCTGAAATTGATGAAATTATATGCCAATATATCGAATTCATAATCTAAAAAATACTTAGTAAAGTCCCATGTTTAAATTTTGAAGAGGTGCCCCAGACCAGATCTGTTTCTGAGCGATACTAATCCTTCACCCTAACCTCATGGATGACTTGACTGCCAGACTCTTACTCCAAAGCTGCTTGGATGCCCTCTATGCATTTGTCTTGCCAACAAGATATGTCACGTGGACTCAGTACGTGTGATGGGTACAGGTGTGTTCAGAAGTTGAATACAGATACATAGACACATTCAGAACATTAAAACAAATTATATGTTACATAATAATGTAGTGTGTGATATTATTGTTCTTCAAGGATAATGCTCAATTGGAAAATAGTGAAAAAAGGATTTCCATTCTTCCAGGAGTAGGAAACCCGTCTCTGTTGTCAAATTTAAACTTTTTCTTCTTTTCCCATCATTACATTTAGAGGATCCTGATGTCTGATTTAGTTTCCTATGTTGAAAAAATTATATAACCCTACCCATGTTGTGTCATGTCAACACATGCACATTCAGGGAAATGTGAGAGTGCATGTAACACAAAGGCGAAAAGATATGCCAAACTTTTGTATTACATGAGTGCTGATCCTATTAACTAGAAACTGTTATTTGATTTCACATCCAACAATTAGCACTAAATCAAATAGATCTAGTTGAACTAATTTTTATGAATGTCCCCATTGGCAAGCTGAACATACCAATAGCACCAGTGTCTATAACTATCTTTTAATTTAGCTTTTTCAAGTGTAGCATTAAGAAAAGAGACAATCACTGAACCAAAATTATACTGCATTTCTACAACTACTACACTAAAAAAGTAATAAAAAGAAAAAGGAAAAAAAAGGACTTGCCTGTTGAACATCTAGGCCCCTAGCCCAAACGTCAGTTGTAATCAAAACGCGAGTTGTACCAGACCGGAACTCTGCCATTATAGCATCTCTTTCCCTTTGAGGCATGTCTCCATGCATAGATGAGACGGTGAAGTTATTGCTATGCATTTTCTCAGTTAGCCAATCCACCTGTTCCAGCACATAAAGAACTGCATTAGATCCAAAGACTAGGATTCATCGAAACTAAACAAACATGTCTCTCAATGAAATTCAGCTCACTTGGCTAGAATTAACAAAGTTTGAACACCGCATATCAGTAGCCCCATTGGCTTTCGAGAGCAAATTAACAGCAACAAGAATTTGTACATAGGCATTAAAAACAACTGCGGGACAAGTCATTTTTATTTTTTATTTTTCACCTCAACTTGTAACTTCTCGTCAGATAGCATCAAACAACTAGAAAATAAAAACCCATCAGATACCTAAACAATTGAAAAGCTCTAGCAGTTTTGGCTTAGGTCAATGAACAAATGCCGTTAAGAATACCGAATTAGCCCCTGTACGCAGGATCATATCTGCATCTAACCTAAATCTAGTCAGACACAAATTTGGTAACATTTACAATCAAATAACTAATAATAACCAATTCCAATGATAAAAAATAAAGTCTGGAGATACCAGTCTGATCCAACTTTTATACATCTTGTAATTACATACACGTTTGCTTTATTCAGATACGACTTCATTTATAAGCAGATGAAATTATGTGAATTCAGCCCACATATTAGATCTGGAACAACTATGAGATGAATAATGAACAACCTTAAAATGACAATCTAAACAATCTGACTCCCTGTTTTTTCCTCTTTAATTGTAGGAATCACAAGAATAAAAATAAAAATATAGAGATATGAGATCTGCTCAAAAAGAAAAAGGAACTACAAACAAAATAATCATATAGAGTATAGACAATCCAACATCAACTAAATAATACCAAGAAGTGGAACCCCCGGTCCATCATTAGGCCAAGAAGTTAACCTCTGAGTAAGCAGTTCTCGGGAAAAAATTTGTCTCTATTTCTAAAAAGATAAAAAATCTCCATAACAAAAAGTTGGACCAATGAAACTTTACCTTCCGCTTCGTATTGCAGAAAATAACTGCTTGTGTGATTGTAAGGGTATCGTAGAGGTCGCATAGAGTATCAAACTTCCACTCCTCTCTTTCTACTGCAACAAAGAATTGCTTGATGCCCTATCATATTAAAACAATGATTGCTTATAAACAGCACTGGACCAATGATAAAAGACAGCGCCAAGTGGCATCAAAATTTTAGGCATAATTTCAAAAGGTTGCCGTGTAGAAGCAACCATTACTCACCTCCAGAGTCAACTCATCACGTTTCACAAGGATCCGAACAGGATCTGTCATAAATTTGCTTGTCATCTCCAAAATTTCATTCGGAAGGGTAGCAGAAATCAAACAAACCTGCATTAAAAAAAAGTCAGAACAAACAATGTGACACTGGCGACATGCATTGTTCTCTTAACAGCAAACTACCTTAATCTATGCCCAGATGATAAAATATCGATACAAGGCATGCATGAGAAGGAAGAGAATACAAATCAAATTGTTAACAGAAATCAAAACCTCCTTCAATAATAATTTTTTTTTTTTTTTTTGATAAAGTAATAATTCATTGAAGGCACTCAAAAGAGGAGCGCTCCCAAAGGAAAAACAAGCCGCCTAACAGCAACACTACAACTTTAAGCTATCCACAAAATCCAAAAGAGTATCCATAGATATACAATTTCGCCCATTAATCCAACAGAATAAAGAAGGTGGTATATTGTATTTGAGAGACCAAATAGGAGAATGCATCAAAGGATCTCCTATTTCTCTCCCGCCACAGTTGACTTTGTCATAATATTGGTAGACGGGGTATGCATGTCAGGAAAGAAGGGTATGTATACAAATGAAATTGTAAACCGAAGGACAAAGCAGATGTATTGCATAAATTTTGGAAACAAAATGAAAATATAAAAGAACAAAAAAGGGTAAGAAGAAAATTAGCATTGACCGCATAAGTTTCAGCTGATAACTAATGAGAATGGACACTTGAAAAGTATTAAACATATGGAATTAAAATTACATAACTTGTCATGTGCATCTGTTAAATGCAACACAAGTGTCAATAGAAGACAGCATCACGAAATGATGCATCATTGCAGAAAATTGTGAGAAAACTCTCAATTTATTGTAAAAACATAAAATATACTTGGGAGTTCAACAAATATCAAATTACAAGCTACCTAAATGCAGAAAACAATTTTGGTATTATCTGAACAAGCTAACTATATCTCGGACAACACCTGGACAGAACTCAACATCAATTGTAGTGCAGTTAATCTTTTTTTTTCATAAATATGATTGTATAAAAGAAAAGAAAACAGAAATGAGAAAATGCAGTTAATCGTGTGTGTGTGTGAGACAGAAAGAGAGAAATAGAGAGAGATGTATATATAGAGAGAGAGGGAGAGATTATATACCTGAAGTTCTGGAGGAAGATATCTGTAAACATCATAAATTTGATCCTTAAAACCTCGGCTCAACATCTCATCAGATTCATCCTGGAAGAATTTTTGTAATAATCAGAATAAATCACACCTGACAACCTCGAAATATAAAGTAAAATTCAAGAAAGGCAAAAACATCACAAAGTACAATTAAATAACAAAAGCCAGGATGGGCAGTAGATCAAGAACTCACAAGAACCAATAACTTGATAGCTCTAGTCCTTAAAGTTCTCCTTTTTATCATGTCACAAACCCTGCCTGGAGTCCCAGACACGACATGAACTCCATATTCCAGTTTTCTGATATCCTCACCCACGCTTTTGCCTCCAACGCATGCATGGGCCTGTATACTAATGTAATCACCAAGAGCCAATATTACTTTCTCTGTTTGAGTTGCCAGTTCCCTTGTAGGTGACAGGATCAATGCTTGGACCCTGAAGAAAAGACATGATCAATACAAAGATAAACCTACACTAACATCCCAAACTTCGAAAGAAAGCATATAAACCAATTTCTAGCTACGCTAATAGGATAGCTGCATATCAACACGGACAAAAAAGTTCACGCGTTGACATGGTTTGAAACTTTCAATGCCATAACAACAGAAAGAAGTAAACCCCAAAAGAGGGAGAGGAAAAAAAAGAACCATTTGAAAGCACTACTCCTTGAAAGAGAACAAGACAAAGAAGTAAGAGGGTAGGTAGAAAGGTGACAATGCCAGAGACAAAAATGTATGAACGCTTTTTATTCTTTTTCTGGCTTCTACTCTCTATAATCTAACCTCAGATCTCCTTAGGATCCCTCTTTTCTTTTTTTTCTTTTTTTGGGCTTTGGCCTCTGTTTATTCTTGGGATGGCTTGCGAATTTAAAATGCAAAGAAATTTGGAATTAGCAATGAAAATTCCCCCCACCCCCAAAAAAAAAAGTGTGCGGATGAGAATATTACAATTAAATAATGATACAGCTTACAATATCGAGGTGATGGCTTGATCAATGTGATAGTGGTGATAGTAGAGCAGCTTGAAAAAGGCAATGGCCGGTTGCAGTGGCGACTGTTAAGGTAATGATGGCTTCCATGATGATGGTGATGGAAATGTTAATTGAGGTGGCAACAACCATTCCATCATGGTGGTGGTGGCAATGATGGTGTCACCATGGTGGTGGCAATGATGGTGGCACCATGATAAAGGTTATGATCATTGGAACAATGGTAGCGCAACTAAGGTAGAGGTGTTGATGAAATATCGCTTATGTTTGTGACAATAGCAGTTGAGCTAGCGAGGCTAGTCGTGGCGGCGGTGGTGGTGGAGGTAATGGCAAAGTGGTGGAGGCAGTGGTTGATGTCATTACTATAGTGCTGGTGGAAGCAACAACAACAGTAGCAGCCAAACAGGCAAGTGATGGGGTGAGGATGATTTCGATGTGTTTAACAGAAGTGGTGTAAAAGTGGCTATTCAACTCCATCCAGAAAGGGTTTATGAGTCCGAGGGATGCACACCTGGTTGATACCATAAGATCCATGGTGTTTGGTTAAATTTTGGGAGGCTTAACAATTTGGTGCTGGCCAAAACACAATTGAACTGATGGAAATGGTTCAATTCACAGTTTTAGGGGCCAAAAAAACCAATCCAAAAAGAATTGAACCAAAATAATCATGCAAATCTTTGTTGAAATGGTTACCATGAAGCTGACTGCATGAGATCATGCTATATAAACACTCTTCCTAACCCTAAATCATATCTGAGTTCCCTAATCTTCACCCCCACCACTGTAGCTGCACACGACGTTCTCTTAATTACTTTGCCCCTCAACAGCTAACACCTGAGCCCCACTAACAAAGCCATGAGTCCACGACATCACTCACACTAACTAATGAACTTGTCAAAAGAAAATCATATAGTTCCCAAAATCAAAACGATGAAAAATTTAACTGCATCAACAGTGTGTTCTTCATCATCTTCTTTTCTGGGGAGTATAGATAAAGATTATGCAAGTTGTTTTATGTCAGTTGATACAGGGATAATTTTATGATTTATTGTGCATTGGCATACTTTAATCTAAGGGGTTCTTGTTTCTCATACACAAAAGATTGCCATACATAGTCGGACACATTGAACATTTCAAGACTATCTTTGCTTCTAAGCCTTTCTGCTTAGTTTAGCTCAGAACTTAGTAGGCATTTATTAATTAGGCATAACTTCTTCTTTTTTTTTGATAAGTAAAATGTATTAAAAAGCGTTCAAAAGGGGAATGCATCCCAAGCTATACAAAGACAAAACAAAACCTATGAGCTCAAAGAGCCCATGAAGTCAACAATATCCTCAAGGGAAGAGTAGTCTCTCCCCTGACCCCAACAAAAAAGGGTACAAATAATAGAAAATTTAAGCACTCCAATGGAGGACTCCTTCCTATCAAAAGATCTACCATTCCGCTCTTTCCAAAGGCTCCACCAAATGCAAAAGGGGGCCACCCTCCAGAAAACTCTCGCCTGAGCCCCCACCCATTGGCCACTCCAAATATCCAACAACTCCCGAGAGGTTCGAGGCATGACCCAATGAATACCAAACAAGCCAAAAATCAAACTCCAACAATCTTGAGTCACAGGACAATGCAACAGAAGATGATCCACTAACTCCCCATTAGTCGTACAAAGACAACACCGATTAACAATGATATGACTTCGCTTCCTCAAGTTGTCCAAAGTCAAGATCTTACTCCAAGCTGCAGTCCACACAAAAAAGGCCACCCTAAGGAGCGCCTTAGACAACCACATCGTCTTCCATGGGAATGAGGTGCCATGAAAACCAGAGAGAGACACAAAAAAGGATCGAACCTGGAACATCCCCTGAGAAGAAGGCACCCAAATCAAAGAGTCTGCACCAGTACCCTCCACCTCCTGCCTGTAAAGGAGAGCCAAAAACCCCGTGACGTCATCCAACTCCCAGTCCTGAAAAGCTCGCCGGAAGCGCACATCCCAAGACTACCTCCCGCTATCAAGGCGATAGCAGTCAGCAACCATAGCATGTTTGTCAACAGCGATCTTGAAAAGCCTTGGGAACAAAAGAGCCAATGGCCTATCCTCACACCATGAATCCTCCCAAAACCAGACATTCCTTCCATCCCGAACTTTGAATCTAATATGTTTGGAAAAGACATTCCAACCCTTTCCAATGGCCCTCCACACCCCCACTCCACTAGCAAACCTGACTGGTCTAACTAACCACCCTCCTCTCTCTTCCCCAAAGCGACACGAAATAACCCTTCTCCATAATTTGTGTCTTTCACTACCAAATCTCCAAAGCCACTTACCAAGAAGAGCACTATTGAAAGGGGCCAATCTCCTAATACCAAGCCCTCCCAACCGAAAAGGCCTGCAAACCTGCTCCCATTTGACAAGATGATACTTGAACTCCTCTCCGCGACTCCCCACAGGAAGTTCCGTTGGAGCCTCTCAATTCTTCCAACAATAGAAGCTAGAATCCGAAATAGCGAAAGAAAGTACGTTGGGAGGCTTGACAGAGTACTCTTCACTAACGTAACTTTACCACCCTTTGACAGATATTACTTTTTCCAACCAGCTAATCTTCTCTTAACTCGCTCAATCACTAGGTTCCAACTACCCACCCTTCTGGCCGAGTCCCCCAGCGACAAACCCAAATACGAGATAGGAAAGCGTTGCGTCCCACACCCTAAAACAGCAGCCAAGGTGTCCACTTCCTGAACCACCCCGACAGGAACAATCACGCTCTTACCCACGTTAACTTTCAAGCCAAAAACAGCCTGAAAGCAAACCAACACACATCTCAGATACCTTACCTGTGACTCCTCTGCCTCGCAAAAAACGATAGTGTCATCCGCAAAAAGTAAATGAGAGATCTCCTTCTGCTGAGCTGAGTCAGGGCCTATCTTGAAACCCCTAATGAAACCCAACTCCACTGCCCTTCTCATCAACCTACTAAGAGCCTCCATAACAATGATAAAAAGGAATGGGGAAAGAGGGTCCCCCTGCCTCAACCCACAAGAACTGCCGAAGAAGCCCGAAGGAGACCCATTCACCAACACCGAAAACCTGACAGTGGAAACGCATGAAACAATCCATTTCCTCCATTTCTCACCAAAACCCATCCTCTCCAACAGATAAAACAGAAAGTTCCAGCAGACATGATCATAGGCCTTCTCGATATCCAGCTTGCAGAGAACACCAGGAGTCCCACTACAAAGTCGAGAATCCACACATTCACCGGCAATGAGGGCGGAGTCCAGAATCTGTCTACCCCAATGAAAGCATTCTGAGACTCAGAAATAACTCCATCCAGGACCTCCCTCAATCTAAAAGCAAGGACCTTTGCGATGAGCTTATAGATGCACCCAATCAGGCTAATAGGTCTAAAATCCTTGATATTAGAAGCACCACCCTTCTTAGGAATAAGGCAATAAAAGATGCATTAAGCGATTTCTCAAACCGCCCCGTGGAATGGAACTCAAGACAGGTGCCCATAATCTCATACCGAACCACCTCCCAGCTCTCCAACAAAAATCTCATCGTGAAACCATCAAGGCCTGGTGATAAGGCCTGGAGACTTATCACCATTGCAACTCTTTAAGGCCTTTAGCACCTCCTCCTCCGAAAAGCGACTTTCCAACCCATCCCTTTCTGAAGCAGAAATAGAATCAAAATGAAGACCATCAAGACGTGGCCTCCAGTGAAGAGGCTCAGAATACAGCCTTTGGTAGAAAGAGACAATACCGCTTCGCACCTCCTCCTCCGAAGTCATGACCGCACGATCCACACACATCCGCCCAATATGATTGCTCCTCCTATGGGCATTAGCAGTTCTATGAAAAACTTCGTATTCCGGTCTCCCTCTTTAAGCCACAAAGCCCGAGATTTCTTGCGCCACGAGATTTCCTCTAAAAGAGCAATCTCCACACATTCTGCCGGACAAGCTGCTCTCCTACTGCGTTGAGAATCAGAAATGACACCCTCCCCTTTCCAATCTATCAATCTCAACAATATCAGCCAAAGCCCTATTCTTCCTCCACACCAAGCTCCCAAACACCTCCTTATTCCACCTTTTAAGATTATTTTTCAGGAGTCGAAGCTTTCCTGCAAGAATATGGCTCGAGGTACCCACCACCAGGTTCTCCTCCCACCAAGAATGCACAAATTCCTGGAAATTATCTACACGAAGCCACATGTTCTCAAATCTGAAAGGAGTGCTGCGAGATCTCAAACCTCCATAGTCCAAAACTAAGGGAATGTGATCCGACGTCACCCTAGCCAAAACAACCTGAACAACATCCGGGAATTTCTCCCATTCACTGGAAACCAAAAATATGTCAAGGCAAGAGAAAGTTAGAGCTTCCACTGGACCAAGTGAAAGAAGCTCCCTCAAGAGGGAGATCAATAAGCTGGTGGCCATCAATGAAGTCGGAAAAGTGCATCATAGCCTGAGTCCACAGACCACCTGTAGATCTCTCCGCCGGGGATCTAACCACATGAAAGTCTCCTGCTACACACCAAGGAAGAGACCACCACCCCTTCACCCCACTCAACTCCTCCCACAAACCATCCCTCACTCCATCGTCAACCGGCCCATACACCCCAGAAAAACCCCAAGAGAAACCATCCTCCTCCATCACAAAGGCACATGACAAAGAAAATCTCCCTCTGCAAACATCCGCCTTAGCCAACCATCTCTTATCCCACATGATAAGAACACCTCCTGAAGTCCCAATAGCATCCAGCGCCTCCCACTCGACAAACCGGTTACCCCACAAACTTTTCACCGCACGGTCAGACATAGAATCAACTTTTGTTTCTTGAAGACACATCAAGTGCACCCCCCATTTCCTCACCGCCATCTTCACCACCCTTCGCTTGCTCGGATCATTTAGACCACGAACATTCCACGATAAAATTCGAAGCTTCATGAGAAAACAATCACCCCTTCACACCCTTACCCCTCCCTCCTCCCTTAGCATTACCCCTCTCCTCTACCCCCCCAAACACCTTATCATAGTTCACATCACAACACAGATTCCTTAACTCCCTTTCTCCTTTCCCCGGAGTAAGGTTCTTCTTCTTCCTACTCCTTTTTCTGGAAAATTGAATCATCTCCCCTTCTCTCCCCTCTGCCGTGGCCTGAAGGATAGCTAAGGCCTGATCACAATTACCCTTGCAAGAAACACCCAACAAATCGCTAGTAACCCCAATATTAGCCTTGACCCATTCCATTCCAGTGTCCTCACCTTCCCGCCGACACACCTTGCTGCCCCCCTCCTCTGGATGAACAATAGCCAAAGGATCAACCACCCCCAAATTGGCAAACCCCTCCTCCTCCCACAAAATCATACCAAGAGAACTGCCCTGTTCCAACCTGCTCCCATCTATCACACCTCCCATAGATGAAGAAAGATTACATGTACAACAAAGAAATACAAAATTCGCACTGCCGGATGTTTTTCAAAAGCACGTTATTTGTCTTTATCCACGGAAATTATACAAAAACCACAAGTTTTACCGGAATACTAGTTCTGATAACTCATATCTTGCAACTCTTTTGTGAGAAGCATCCCACTACTTAACATCCAACTCCGGTAATTAACCTTTGTTAGCTAACCAATCAAGCTTTCTGGATCAATTTTTTCCCTCTGATTGAGCTTGCTTGTTACCTCTTGATCTGGGTTGTGTATTTTGACATCCTTCCCCTTAATTTGGCCTGGGCTAGTTATCATTGGACTACATTCTTTAGAAATCCCAATCCGTAGAACAGAATCAATTCAAACTGGCACATTTCAGATAGGCTCAATTTCAAATGATCCCATACATTTGGTTCAATTCTTTTTAAAAAATTTTATGGAAATTTTTAGGATTAGTTTTGGTTTACCTTCAAACCAAACTGAACCGAACCATGCACACCACTTATGTTCGACATATAAGCCCAAATCAGACCTAATTTGGTAGCAATGAGGAGTGTCTACCTTCTAAGACAGATGGAAACCCATCTTACACCACATTCCATTTAATTTAAATTCTAACTAAATATATCCTTAGTTATCAATAATATTGTTAACATCATACATTATACTATCATACAACATATAATGTACTTACCAGTACCCAAATTAGTATCTCAAGGCTAGGATCAGGGGACTCATACTTTTGAACACAATATTAAAAATTTAGAAACACATCCAAACCCCATTCATGTAACTAGTCCATGTATTGTTAAACTTCGCAATTCGTGTATCCGTAAATATGGGTCCACATAAACACGACAAAAGTATTATTCATGTCATGTAACCTTAGCACGCACTACACAGTTATTAAACATGTAAACAAGACATGACTGGCGTAACCTGTCTTATAAATAAGTCAAGACGTGACACATTTAATTGAAATTTTAGTTGAATGGTTCACTTTTAACATGAACACGCTTGTTCATCCCACATCTTATGCTTGTTCATCCCACACGTTTAGTTAAACGAGTCTACAACCATACAAGTATAAAAACTTATGTATATGGATATAACACCACCAATCTATCCAACCATACAAGTATAAAAACTTTGCATGTGATGTCTTGACAGAAAAAGAATCCAAGATGATTTCATTTGTGTATAAACTAAAGCATGCTTCACGAATTAAAATTTCTCATGGTAAAAATTTGCACATAAGCCACCACTGTTGAACTTGACAAAGCCACTACTAATACTCCGTAATAGAATTGTATGGTACCAATAGTATTTTCATTAGAATAGCTTGTCTAGAATTGGTTCGTAAATTGATGAGTTAACTCCAATCACTGGCATTGTCATGAAATCTTTCCACTCATTGTCTCTCAAACAAATAATCCTACCAATCAAGAAGCACTATCAACCTCCTATACATATACATATACATATACATACACATACACATACACATACACATACACATACACATACACATACCTCGTGGATCTCAGCAAAACATTTAAACACCAAATAATAAATAAATAAATAAAGTTGATAATAAGCAAAAAAAAAAAAAATTATGTAGTTAATAAAACAGCAGCCACAAATTAAGGTTACAGACTTTGATTTAACTAACCGTAGAACAAAACCCAGGAAAATAAAAGCCCTAAAAGAGATAAAATTAGGGTTTTGGGGAGGAACTGATAAAATTATCATTAATATCTACATATTAATATCTAGATATGCTGAACAATTGGAACAACGCTTTGTTGAGCTGAACTCCAATTGAACCTAAGAAGAAAAATATAACAAAACGCAGAAAATCCTAACCCTAAAAAAAATGAAAATTAGGGTTTCGGGGAAGAGGATAAAAGTATCATTCACATATCTGTATATGTATGTGATAGATTACGTACTCTCTGGAGGCAGTGTCGACCATCTGGCAGACAGTCAGGGCGATCATGGAGGTCTTGCCGGTACCGGACTGTGCCTGGGCGATGACATCGCGACCCTGAATGATGGGCACCACCGCCCTCTGCTGGATCGCAGAGGGCTTCTCAAACCCGTACTGGTAGATCCCGCGAAGAAGGCCGTCCTTTATCCCCATCTCGTCGAAGTTCGTGACGGGTTCGACTCCCTGCGACGTCTCGAACACTAGCTTCTCATCGTCCACCATCGCTCGATGCCCCCTGTTCGCCGGCACCACCGAGCCTGGCACTGCGGCTGCTGCCATTGCTCCGATTTCTGGCTGAACACCGCAAACAACCCTCTCTCTCTCTGCTCTCTCTGTCTCCTCTCTTCTACGTCGAGAGAGAAGTAGAAGCCCCAATTGAGTTGAAGCCCTAATTATGTGTATCTGATTTATTCACTCTTTGGTAAAAAAACAAAATGGTCCCTCCACCGACTTAACAATCGATACCCATTGGTCATTGATTATGGTAGGGTTATGCCAATTGTAAAAAATAATAATAATAAAAATAAAAACAAATAAATAGCGACCAAATTATTTATTTTTTAAACAACCCTTCACAAATTATATACTTTTACACTCATCTCTCTTACATTATCTTTTATATTCTCATTAAATAGTTATACTTCCACAAAAAAATCAAATAAAATAAATAAATAAAAAATTAGAGATTTCTTTGACGCAGTACTTTTAATTGAAATTTATCAACAAAAAAAAAATTCGTAAAGGGCCTAAAGACTAAAAATGGCAAAGAGGCTCTCAGGATTCCTCAAACTGCCTACACGATATTCACTCCTCTAGAATCCAAGGCAAACAACCTCCAATGGAGAAACTGATAAAAAGTGTTCTAGATCAAAAAGAAAGGAAGATATAATCTTCAAAGCCCAAGATCAAACTCCCAAGGCAAGGGGTCCGAAATCTGAAAATGGCAAATCAGGTTTTGTTTGGCTACAAGGTAGTTAAGTGAGATTTCAACCAAAATCCCTAACTTTTCCACTAGCCTAAGTATTTGTTGGCTAACCACACACACACCAACACTACCTCTCACACACACACACATCCACACTACCTCTCACACACACACACATCCACACCTTCTACTTGTCACAATTCTAGGGTTCCTCACAAGATTTGATCTCAAGCCTACACTTGTCACTAATCTAAGCCAACAAGTGTGCCAACCAGAAGTCCACATGCGGGTGAATCTTCAACCTCCACTTGTCATCATCCCAAGCATGCAAACAAGGCTCAATCACAAACCTACACTTGTCAACATTCCAAGCTAACAAGTGGTCCAACCAAAGGTCAGGTGAATTAACACCTAACACTTGTCACCAAAGTGTGCTTTCAAGTCACACCACAAAGGGGATGACAAGTGGCCCTAAGAAAAAAGTAACACGTGTCACTAATTCCTAGAAATTGCAAAGAGGTCCATCCTCTAAATATCCCAAGAAATATTTGTAATAAAGTCCCTAAGACAAAAGGTAATTACATAAAGCACCCCGTAAAACAAAAATATTTCCAAAGAAACTATACATCCTTACCCTGGAAAATAAAAATATACGAACATGCTTTTCATATAAAATAAAGACATACTCGGCTAGTGAAAAACAAAATAGCGTAATGCACGTGGTATCGAAAATCGTTTCCGAGTACCGAAACCTACCGCAAGTCAAACAAAACCCTTGGGTCACAAGAAAAAAAATAAATCAAATGATTAAATAATTAATTAAATAATTAATAATCATAAAATTAAAAATTAAAAAAAAATGACGGAGAATCGGAAAGGGAAAAAGAAAACACGGTCATTACAATCTTCCCACCTTAAAGGGATTTCGTCCCCGAAATCCGGCATTGACAAAATAGAAGGCTAACTTAGGATAACTACGAAGTACATCTCTAAGTATCCGTCACAACACGCCATATCGGTTATCCCAAAACCGAAAGAAAAGCATAAACCAATGCCATTTGCACCCACTTGCTCATAACATAACACACACAACAACATCAGCCAAAAATGGCCCCGTCTTAATGTCATTTGTACCCATATGCTTATGATAAAACACTCAAAAAAAAAAGATGACCATACGATCACACCACACGTCAAAACTCAAACAGAACATCAAGCACAAAAGAATAAGTCCTAAGGCCTCGAGATCAAAGCAACATGGCAATATGAGTAATGACTGGAACTCGCCCACAACGTACTCAATGTATGGTAGCATGACAGTGTCTAGGGCCCGCCCACACTTACTCATCAGTGAGGTAGCATCGAAGATAACTAGCACCCGCCCATAACTGTAATATTTTTAATTTTTACCATTTTTCATTTCTTGAAAATTTCTAATTTTATGAGGACAATTTTGTCTTTTCTCGTTTTGCGTGCCAGGCACCGTAGGGTGTGCCGGGTGTGTCCGAGAGTTGGTTGGGATATTCCATTGAGTTTAGGACTCTTGAAAATGCACCGGTTGTCATTTAGGCATTTTTCAATTTTTCAAACCGGGAGGTCTAAGGTGGGACCTGCTACCGGAGTCGTTAAGCACTAGAGTTGTGTCACGGGTCCGTTGCATTTCATACATTATTAATTTTGTGGATAAATTAAATGTTAGTTTGTGTGGTTGCAATTTAATTTGGATTTACACATATATTATAAAAAAAATAAAAATAAAGGTGAGATATTTTTTTTAAAAAGATTTGTGGGGCCCACAAGCCGTTCATTTTAATGGCCCTCAAGCCACTTTGCTATTGACTCTCACTCTCTCTCACATAATCTCTCTTTCCGGCTTCCTTTTGTTCTTTTCTTTTTTTATTTTTCTTTTTTCTTTCTTTTTGAGCTTAGACATTTCCACCCATTTTTTTGGTCGATCGGTTGGGTTTTCGGCCTGGGTTTCTTGACAAAAAACATTCCTCTCATCGTTCTCTATCACATAGTCAAAGGCTTTATTTTTCAGAGGAGCGGTGATTATTTTATGAATTTTTGAATCTAAGGCTTCGGATAGGGTTTTGGGCCACTTAGAGTCAGATTCCGGAGCTAACCCTTTGGAACAGTAAAATCTCCTCGTCGACGGCTACGTTTCCACCGAGCAGTTTTCTGTTCCTCAGCTGTTAACCAGCGTTAACTTTCGTTGACCGCATTGACCGGCATTGACTTTTCCAGCCGGGAATGTATTTTGGCTACTTTTGAGGTAGGGGTGCTCTAATTCACAATTTCTTAGGTTCTATATGAATTTTCCTTCTTAAATTGACTATAAACATGTTTAATTTCAGTTATTTTGACTATATGATTGTGGTTGATTATATGTAAAACGGTGGATGTATGTATGAGTTTGTAAATTTAATTATATCGTTGTAGTGAAGAAGCATGCTTAGAAATGACAAGTTGTTTACTTTATGTATTTCAATTGCCATGGAAATTTGATGTCATAATTGTAGAAGTAAATGTTTAAAATATTTTTTACAATTTGATCTCGTTCTCTTGCTTTCTATTCTCTATGTGGATTCATGGAGTCATAAGAGGTGTGTCTTAAACACTTCCTACTGAGCGTTTAGCTCACCCCATCATTTTAACATTTTTCAGGTCATGGGAAGGAAGTGGCGGACGACGTTCCTCCATAAGTTTTGATGGGAAAGAACGGTAACGTTTTTGTGGACCTCGGGTTCGGGTAAAGACCCGGTTAGCGATTCGGACCCTCGGGTTCGGGTCGTTACAATAACACACAACTCGTACGGTAGCATGACAGTATAAGGCACTAATTCATAATCTGCCCCACAAAATCAACCCATAAAACTACTCAATACAAATGACATCAATGCCCCAAAACGACATTGCCAAAGGCATTGTAATAACCTGGCATTCTGTAAGAGTTGGGATAGTTAATCCCAAAACTCTTATAACAATACCCTCGAAACCGTCACGCTCAAGGCCCAAAAGTGTCAAAATACAAACACAAGCAAAAGTGAAACACCAAGGTCAAAGACTTCACCCTTCATACGGAAGTAAGTTGACCAAAATCAAGTAAATCCTTACCAATGACTCAATAACAACAATGGTGATCCTCACAGATCAACCAACTCACGACTATACACAATGCAATGAAGAAAAGAGACTCACTCCACGTGAAGTCCCTAACACGAACCTTGAAAAGAGGCTGCAAGTGTCAAAAGACAACTATGAAAAAAATAAACATTATTCCACATTAGGAAAGTGGACAAACCAAAATGAAACAAGATATGGTAACTAGCTCCCTAACAAGGAATTCCACTATGCAACCACAACAAAAGCCCGTAAAGACATTACATGCAAACAGAAGGAACACGATACTAGCTCATGTTCTCTCAAAATGAACAAAAGGAAAGAAAAAAAAAAAATTCCACTTCGACATCATATGTCTTGTGAAAAAGAAAAAAATGGTAACACTAAAGATGAATATCAATGCATATAACATGGGAATGCACTGCTAAGAAGATAAACATGCTTACGTAATTACAATTAATGATATATGCAACACGTCTCCAAGTAAGCATAAAATCATGTCACTAAAGCATAATCACAACATGACATCTCTGAGCATATAAGCATACATCAATGCAGGAACAATACTATAACATGAATACCATGTAAAGATAAAACTCGTGAATGGAACATCAAAACAAAATACAAGCATAAAAATGCTAGATTAGGACCATATCCCTCATCATAAAACAAACATATATATAATGACCACTTCACAATCTCAAAATATATGTACATCATGTATGCAACTCCAATGCAATACTATATACCTATGCGTGTACTAGATGCTCACATAACACATACTCACAATATCAAAACACATAAACTAGATTACACCTTACAACAATGTACATAGTATACATAAGACAATCAAATAATCTACCTATCACATAGGGATCAAGTAAGCAACGACACATTATACATCACTAATGATACTAGCATGTTAAACAAATATAACATATGAAAGCTACATCATTACTATCATCGCATAAGCCAACACATAGCCACATATCTTAGACATGTCTCTAAGGCATGCTTAAAATGATAAGGCATATAAATATATGAGAGTGACTATACAAATAGCGATGCCACAAAATCATAAGCAAAGATGGAATGCCTCTCAAAAAGACAATCTCACAGAAAACATGCCTAAAAACATGGATGAGTCCAATTTCTCAATGCGAGGAAAGAAATCATCCCCAAAAAATGACTACTAAAGTACAAAACAATAATGTAATGGATAGTTTTAACACTAACCATCACAAGACATCCACAAGGAAGACATATCTCAATATGCCAAAGAGTTCGATAGGAACTCTATAGGATTCTACCGAAACCCTAACGCACAACCCCAAGACTCCA